TTCAGTATTGCCATTGGTTACTGAGAAGGCCCATTAGTTGGCCATTCCAACTGAGACGAGGCTCCCTTGCACATTCTTCTTCTTGTTTACTTCTTGTTTATCCAAACAATTCAGACATTCTGATTGAAATAATGCAATCTATCCATTTACTGTTTTCCCTACTTAAGGGGAGTTTGGTCTGCAGTGAAATCATCACAATCAGGTTTGCTATTACTCAGAGAAAATTCCAAGCTTGTTTTTGCAGGAAATGTTGATGAGTTAATTCACAGGCCTTCCCAGTCGATAATACAATAGCACTTACTCACTTGGATTAAAATTAAAAGCACTTACATCAAGGGCAGGGGTGGTGGGAGCAACGTAGGAACTGCAAAGGAAAGCTCTGTTTGCTTTACCATGTGTTGAACCGAGTCCAACTATCTGTATGAAGCTCACAGTAGCTTTCCATTGCCTGTAAATACTCAAAAGTACCAAGGATAAGGAATGCATTTGGTTTATGGAAAAAAAATAATCAAGGAATAAACCCATGTATTATTCTTAGTATGGATACAATTGGAAGGCCATGTAATCTTATAATGGCTTTTGAGTGCCATGTCTTGACTGAATTGCACACTGCTTTCTTTGACTGCAAAACAACAATGCTGGTTAGGAGACAATATTAAGAGCAAGAATCCACTCCTCTAGAGATTTTTTGGGGGAAACAGCCCTTTGCATCAGAAACATCTACTTAAGCAAACAAATCCAGTTGAAGTCCCACTAAGACTTCAAAACAGCTCCCCAATCTTTTTTCCAGTAGAGATGAAGAGGGTTGTGGTTTTGAAATTAAGGAAGTGCATAAAAGGCCTTGCTTGGCCTTTCCTCATGCTTCTTGTTACGTTAGTTATGTCACCTTCAGGCCTGTGGTTAACCACATGCTTTGCATGCCTTAGGCCCCCAGTTACTATCTGTAGCATCTTCTGTTTAAAGGATGTCAGGTAAGAACAAGAAAGATCTTCAAAGATTAAGAAACAGAATTTGGGCTCATTAGATGCAAAAGTATCATTTTCAGAAGGCACATATCTTCATGGGTGCTACAAGGAAAAGCTCATGAGTTAAACTATGGGGTTTTTTAATGAGGTGTTTTAGCATTTTCTTAAGGAGGCACACTTGTTCTTTCTTGCTTCAAATTCCATCCTCACAAGGATCTTGGGAGACAAGCTTGGCTGAGCTATAGCAGATAGGCTCATACATGCATGAGTCCAGAATCTGACTTGTTTGAACTCAACACATTGGTGTCTTTTACAAACCAGGATCTAGCAACCAACGTCTTTTGCAAAAACAGATAAATTGTGATTAACCTGTTGTTAAACCAAGGCTTAATATCCTACATGAACCAGACTGGTGATTGAGTCAAAATCATCTAGTGAGTTTCCTGGCTGAGAGAGAATTTGAACTTAGATCTACTCATTCCTTGTGCAACATCTTAACCACTACATCAGGCAACATTTTCGATGACCTCGTGGTCTACCCTACTACTGAATGTGCTTTGAAGGATGTCAACAAAATAGCATATTTCATAAACAGTGGCACATAAAAACCTAAAACATTGAAAAGGAGAAAGAAAATCTTGTATACCAAGGTGATTATAATTGTGTAACCCAGTCTTGAGACTTTTATAATAGCTTCCTTCCCACTCCTCTCTGTTTTGAATGCTCAACAGTTAACCATGCATGTCAAAACCCTCCAGCCTGTGAAACTAAATGAAACTAATAACAGAGCCCACAATTGACTTGCACATCCTTTAAAAAGCAGAACCATGTCCAGTGCTTAGGCACACAGAACTCAGGAAAGTTGTTCTGGTTGTAACTTGAGATCTTCTTGACTGAACCCCGTGAAGGTTTCTGCACATGAAACTTCAAAAGTACTATTTGAAAATCACTGAGGTGATCAAGTGCTTTATGAAGGATTGTCTGTCATTTGCCTTGTATTATTCTTAACTTCCCCCTCCTAAATAAAGCTACTTCAGCACTACATTAGTATGAGCATGATAGTTCCTCAACAATGCAATTGACCTCTTTAATGGTCACCCACAGATGTACTAATGGACTCCTTAAGGCTTTTTTTCTTTTCTTTTTTTAAAATCTTATCTGTGCTTGGGATTTGTTTTGCAAATCCAGTGTCTGGAGTCATTTTTAAGTAAGCATAGCTAAAATGACATTACAAACAAACAAAGGCTAGAGAGAGGGACATCTATATAAGAGAAGTTCAGGTATGATTCTTTTCTGAATATATGTTGGGCAAGCTACTAATATCAAGTTCTGCTGAGAACAATGGAAAAATCCATCAATTCCTCCCCCCCATTATTAAACTGATTTCAATTTTACTTCCCTATAGATGTTAAATGAATGAGGAACAGCATAGCTTTTCCATCAAGATTCCAAAGTTACCATGTTATTCAAACTTTAAAACACCTGCTGTATAAAATCCCCCAAGACCGATATTTTATTTTAGGTGAAAAGGATCCAAGCTAACATCATTTTAAGTCGTTGATGTTATCTGAAATCTTAATTAATATTTTTATTGAGAGTGTCAAGAAAGCACAGCTACAGGAAGAAATTTGGGCTCCACCCATTTTCCAACATCAATATATCAATAAGAAAACACTATTTCTTATGTGGAGGATACCTTAACAGCTGGCCAAACCCTGGACCAGGGCCATCTAACATTTAGTGGTAGAATTTTATGAGCAGCTAAAACATCTACCTCTTCTCCAACCACTAGGAATGAGATTTCTTTTTTTCTCGTCATCTTGTGTCAGGAGAGACAAGCATACAATCAGCATGTTCCTGAATTTTGTTTTGAATTTACGGAAGCTGACTCCCTTTCCAATCCCTTCTGTTCTGGAAAGTAGTTTGCAATTCGTTGCAATATGGAAGAAATCCGTACTCTGATGGGAATGGATTATTTATTTATTTATTTATTTGTTTGTTTATTTATTTATTTATTTCAATCGACCTATATGCTTGCCGATCTAACAAACATGACTCTGGGCAGCTAACAAAATTTTAAAATGGTACAACTGGTGAAATAAGTGAAACTAAAGATAAGGACAACAACATAATATGGCAAACCAAAATAATCAGCACCCGTCTCACCTGGGTTCAAGTAACTTCCTGTCACCCCAGAGGGGCTCAGAGAAAAAAAAACCAGGTCTTTGCAGCTTTCGGAAACTGGTTGGCACACAACTAATTGCAGGTGATAAGGTGACAGAAAACGCCCACTTCCTGGGTCCTATAAGAAGGCACTCTCTATTGATAGGCCTGAAACATGCTCTTTCTACCAGATGTCATGGGATGGAGAGAGGCAATTGGAGAAAGATAGTCTATCAAGTCAACCAACGCTATTCCACAAAAAGTTTTATAAGTGACAATTAGCATCTTGAATTACACTTAGGGGAGAAACCTACGAAGAATCAGTATAGGTCTATCTCAGTGGTGGGATTCAAATTTTTTTACTACCAGTTATGTGGGCGTGGCTTGGTGGGCGTGGCATGGTTTGGTGGGTGTGGCTTGGTGGGTGTGGCAGGGGAAGGATACTGCAAAATCTCCATTCCCATCCCACTCCTGGGGGAAGGTTATCACCGGTTCTCCGAACTACTCAAAATTTCCACTACCGGTTCTCCAGAACTGGTCAGAACCTGCTGAATACCACCTCTGGTCTAAGAGAGCCAGTTTGATGTACTGTTTAAGGTAGCTGGCTAGAAATGGTAGACTGAGAGTTTTAGTCCTACGTTAATGTCCTACCTTATGAATCACAGTGGCACAGTGGTTAGAGTGCAGTACTACAGGCTACTTCTGCTGACTGCCGGCTGACTGCAATTTGGCAGTTCAAATCTCACCAGGCTCAAGGTTGGCTCAGCCTTCCATCTGTCATGCCCCTGTCAGAGTCTGAATCCAAGGAGGAAGATGAACAGCTGACAGGGAGTGGGAGTGTGGCTCCGTTGGCTGTGGCAGAAACTGAGGAAGAGCACAGTCCGGCTGGGCAAAACAGGGGTGTTGTGGTTAGCCAGCAGCAGGTGCAGAGAGGTGTGGAGAGCGAGGA